TCCGCGAAAATTCAACAAGATGCGGTACAAGCTGTCATTTGCGGAACCAAACCACATCACGAGAATTTCTGTGACGTCTTCGAAGAAATCGCTTGTTATCGATTTACGCGTAGGACTATTGCAACACTGAGCCACACAAGCCGCAGCTAAGAGTTCAGTCAAGGCCAGGGAAAGGAATGCTGGTAGGGGGAAGGAAGCAGATGGGTTGCTGGAGAGGTGAAGAGAAAACATTCCCCTCCCTCCTGCATTTCACCTGCAATCTGCTTCTTCAAGGTAACCAGGCGGGTGCGCCCACAAAAGGCTTATCTTCGAGGGTCATCCGAACAATGAACACAGCCAGAGGGTTGGTCAGTAGATACTTTTGTGAGTTCGTCCCATAGTTGATAGTGCAGGGGATACTATGTGTTTGGTCTACCAAGCAATGCCCTTCAGGCAGGTGCCGTGCTCTGCCTGGTGACCCGCTTGGCGACTATAGTCACGTGACTGTAACCGAAGACACGCTTGGCCTAAAATACGCGTTGCGTCTTTTCTGCTGCCAATACCGAATGAACAGGACAGCAGCACGAAAGCTACTCAGCGACCACTTTTCTTGGCAATGCAGCTGCCCGCGCAAGCTACAGGCCCGCGCTCCCTCTCCCATTTTGAGCGCTGAATAAAGCTGTGCGCGGGCTCTCCTCCTTTCCACCGGATTGCCAAGAAAAGTTCTCGCCGAGATAGTTTTTGGAGTCCCAAAGGAACTGCCCTCCCCACATGTTAACCAGAAATGGCAGGTATGAAGATGCAATGTTTTACGCCGTAAAACCCACACTCTAAACTAAAATTCAAAAATAACCGCGTCTTTCTTTCTGCGCACGATGTCCCCAAATAAACTGAAATGGAAAAGAAAAAGATGTTACTCAGAAATAAACTGTGCCGTAAATTTCGCAGCACGCCAATAACTGCGCGGAGAACAGTTTGAGTATCCGCATCCGATCCTCATTCGCAGACTTTGTATCCCCATCCGAACAGCATCCGCAAACTTTCTACATTATCGTATCCGTATCCGAACCGCATCCGCGAAATGTGGAACCATGTCGATGCTCTTGTTAACCACCAGAGGTTGCGATTACATTTAGACTAGCAAAATCAGCGCAAATCACGCCGACCGCGTTATTTCCCGCCGCACGCAGAATCAGAAACTTTCACGCCTAAAAAAGATCATCATAAAAAAAAGGAGTTCGGAAAGCGAGGAGGAGAGGCAGTGGTAGGAAGACAAAATCCTTTCTGGGATTGACTTAAAACGAAAGAAACACACAAGAGGACGAAACAGACGACACAGCTTTCGACTTGCAACTGCAGATTTACTGGGGCGGCTCGCCGCTCAGAGCTCGACTTGGGAGGCGATGGGGAAAGGGGGGAGGGGGATGAGGGGAGGCGTAAGCAACACAGGGAGAACGTTGCAAGGGCGAACACAGCGGGTGGTCGGGAGTCTGGTCCACGGCGTGGTCTGGTCCATGTCGCCTCTCTCGTAGATGACACCTCGCGTCGCTTCGTGCCGTCGGGGGATCGGCGGAGAGCGGGGGAAGGGGGGGGGGGGGTCGTCGGAATTCCCCGGGGGAGGCGCAAGACGGACCAGAGCACCAGAGGGTCAAGCGAGAACAGAAGGCGAGAAGTAAGAACAGAGGGCGGCTTTCCGGGGTTGTTTTTGTTTTTGTTTGCCACTGTTTTTCCAAACCTTTAAGTTCCAGTGCCGCGTGTGCTGGGGCGCTCCCCACCCTCGCAGGAAGCTAATCCTTCTCTCCCACAGGGAAAGGGAAGCGCTGGAAAGGTTTGTTGTCACCGACTTGATGCTTACGGATTCTATTATTTCTTTTCCGAATCGAGATCGGTGTCCCCCTATGATTTTTTTTTGGGTGAAGTGGGGTGTGCAAGAGGAACATTTTTTTTTTGCGTGGACAATAACCGGATGCAGGGAATCCTCGGGCGGGCTCGTGATCTCCCTCGCGTGTTCACGGAGACGGTCGTTGATACATTGGCCCGGTTGACCGATGTACTCCGCTCCGCACGAAAGAGAAATCGTGTACACTTTGTCTCGCGCGCAGGGGCAGAAGCACTGGGCGTGTTTTTTAGTGCAGGAGGGCGGAGGTTCGGGATTGTTGACACGCTTGCACATTCCACCCAATTTGAATTTGCAGGTGGAAGGGACCCTGGTGTCGCATTTGCGTGCAAGGGCACTCAAACGATGGGATGTGTTGCGCACGAGGGGAATGCATGAAGGGCGGGAGGAGAAGGATCTGGGTGGGGGATTGCGGGGGCGGCTCCTGAACTGCACGAACAACTTTTTGATGTTGTTTTCAATCAAATCCGCGGGGTAGCCTGCCCCTGAAGCCTAGCCGTTTGGCGCGAGAGACTCTCCTTGATAAGGTGGGGACAGGACTTTTTACAGGAGGAGGAGAGAAGAGATTTGACGATGCCGGATTTTACTGTTATCGAATGATGGCTAGTGAAAGGCAGGACACGTTTTTGAGAGCGCTGTTCGAAGGACCAGCATAGAGCGTGGGAGGAAGGGGTGAGGCGGAGATCCAGAAATTGGAGCCCCTCCCGGTTAGCATCCTCTTTTGTGAAGGAGAGACCCCTAGCGTTGGCAGCGAAGGCATGCAGGACAGAGACGTCCGAGGTGGACGATGGGTGAACGACGAGGTAATATTCGACGAACCTGAATATCCTGCATCCAGAACCGGAGCGAGCAAGATCCTCCTGCACCGCACGATCCACGAAGAAGAGAAAGATCTCACTAAGGATCGGTGCGAGGCAGGAGCCAATGCACACTCCAGACCTCTGGATGAAGATCTCCCCTCATACGCGACGAGGGAGGATCTCCGGTAGAGCCGGAGGAGGTCGACAAAGCCTTCGGTGGGTATTCCGGACGCGTTCTGAAACCTCGTGACACCATGCATCTCAATCGCCTCGGACAGAGAGTTTAATATAATTTTGAGGTCGAGGTTGTAGTACATGTCCTCAATGTCCAGAGGGAACAGGTTGAGGTCATGATCGGCATGCTTCGTTCTAAGGTAATCAATTACCTCAAGAGAGTCTCTCACGCGGTAGGGGTGAGGAAGATCAATAGAGGAGAGAGGCCTTTGAAGGTGGAGGGCGAGCGGCTTCTGCCAGCATCCCCTCTCGGAGACGATGCTGCGAAGGGGAATGTCTGGCTTGTGCGTCTTCGACGAGAAGAAGATAGTCAGATGCTGTTTGGAGGGAGAAGAGATCAAATTTTTTAGCGAGGGGAGGTTTAAAGAGAAGCAGAGAGACTTTGCCTCAGAGCGGAGGGCCCCGACGGACGCTTCTTGAGGGGGACAGAGTTCTTTTTCAGGGCTAAGTCCGCTTTCTTGGAGAAGTCGCCCCGATCGATTAACAGGAGTCGACCCTCCTTGTCTGCCTCGAGTAGCACAAGGTCTGACTGGCGGAGCTCGCTTACCACGCGTCACACCCCCGAGCCAGCCGGTGTTGTCACGGCACCGTTGTGGCAGATGACTCCCGTCGCCGCCGCAACAAAGTCCTGTCGGTCGTGCTCCGTGATCCTTGCCGCAACCTCGTACACAGACACCAGTTGGTCGACACTCTACGACGGGCGGGGAGCGCAAATTTGGGTCCATTTGACAAGAGGGTGGTGGCCTCGGTTTAGAGGTTGGCGTCCGATAGATTGATCGGGGGCTCCAGGGCCACAGCCCGTCGGGATGAGGCGCTCATCCCAGGTGTGCCACGTTTTTATGGATTCTTTGTGACTATAGATTCTTGATCTATTTTTGTTGTTTACAAAGAGGGTACACATGAGTGGATTGTGACAGAGATATTCTTTTAGCAATAAAAATCTTTGCAAACATTGCAGATTTTTTCCTTGCCCCCAAATTGCGACTACACATTACAAAACTGTATATGCAAGTGAAAACAAACTTCTGTCTTTTTTATGTGCGAGTTTGACAAAAGATATTATTGCCGCCACTTGAGGCACTTTCGTAAGAAACAGTATTTACAAATAACAACAATCTCCAGAGGATTTAAGTTGACAGGTCATGAAAGACGTTGCTGCGGCCACTTCAGACAATGTCATATAAAACGATATATACAGATAACAACATTCGCCTGAGAACATAGATGGACATGTCATGGAAGATTTTATTGAAAGATTTTATTGCTGCCGCTGGGGGAATTGTCATTAAATTAATATATACACAATACAAAAAAATCCCCTTGGCTGTTACAAACAAAACTGTACTGTAGTGAACAATTAGTTGCTGTCATCTTCCCCCGGAGGTTGGGCCAGGTGCTCGGCCCGGGACTCGGCCTGGAGCTGGGGCTGGGGCTGGGCCTAGGGCTGAGGCTCGGCCTGGGTTTGAGGCTGACGCAGAGCGTGGTCGGATAGCGGAAGGATGACCTCTCGCATGAAATCAGCGTTTTGCTACATGGAGAGGAAACCCTCCTGGATGTTCTCTGCGATCCGGTCTATGCCCTCCGTCTGCTGCCCCGCGTTCTGCGCGAGCTGCCCCATGTTCTGTGCCAGCTGGTCCAGCCGCTCAAGGAGCTGCCTTATGCCGAGCGTGATCTGAAACATGATTTGCAGATTTCTTGACTTCCAACATCTCATGCTGGTTACCAAGACTTTGCTGACACCAACTATTGGCAGCTTATGTCTCAAGTAAGTCTGTGTTTAATCATGTTACTGTGTTTCAGGGATTTTTCAACATTACCTGTCCCTGGAACCTTTTGTCCCTTGAGTCGCGGCCTACGTTGGCGTCGAGCAGGCGTTGCTGGTTAGCCACGGCCGAAAATCTGGCCTCGTCCCGCCTCTCCTGTCGAGAGGCTCGAGGGACTCGACGAGGCAGCATTCGGCGAACCGTGGCTTGCCTTGCTCGAGGCTGTGGCATTTCTGCAGGGAAACATAGTTTAGATCAGTAATAAGTGTGGTCATGTTCATGTTGCTGACGGTTTTAGTTCTCCTTGGTCAAGTAAGGTATCTTACAGGTTGAGGTAGATGCCTCGTGATCCCCGTCCTCCTCCTCCTCGAGTACCTCCCCCGCATCCTGTGAAGCTGGGTGCTCCTCTGCCGGGGTGCCCACAGGCTGCACCTACGTGGCACATTTATCGTTATGCGTTTGCACTGCATGCACTGTAACATATGCAATCTCTTATGTTTTTTTATGGAATGAAATGGAGCTATGCTCCAGCTTTAGATTCTACGCAGGTTTGCCCCTGTAGTAACTTTTGTAGTTTGTTGTCGAAACAATACTGCAAATATGACTTGTGGTAAACCTTTTGTGAGCGCCAGGCAACTAGCTGCTTCCTGTCGTGTGCGTATTACCCTATAAGAGTTGTACATGTTGCATACTAATGGGAAAAACAGATAAGTATATGATTCATTGCAGCAGCTGAATGTAGCTGGAAGTGCTGTGGCTGACGCTAGGATGTACAGTGCCCCTCAAACTTAACGCCGCCACTCGGTTACACTCGGTTACGCAAATATTGATCCATTGCATGCTACCCAAAGATAAATTGGTCGCTGCAGCTGCTCGAATACCTTCCCCTGTTGGGTTCTTATCGGGGACGCAAATCTTCACCAAGTAGTTCGACCACTAGGTTCAGGAATAGCTCAACAAATGAATAAACCGGACGATCTAGTGGCGGCGTTAAGTTTGAGGGGCACTGTACCACTCCCATTTACATGTCATTTCAATCACCTTTTATGTAAAGGAACCACCTTAATACAGCTCTCATCAATGTTTCTAGGTCTACGCAAACTCGCGTCCAAACCCAAGAAAAATATTTGGCAGTCCAGAATGAATTTTGAAGTTCAGACTCCCCCTCCTCTCCTGGATATGGCCCTGAGCCCAGGAACTATTTACATACACGTCCCATAGTTTTTAACAGTTATCACATGTGCAGCCCTTTCAGGGTTAGCCTATACAAGGACAAGTCAATTTGCCCTCTGTACACCCTAGAGTTGGCGGGATTTTGAAAGGGACCGGTAAATAAATTAACCATTTGTTGCTTCTATATATCACTTTAAACAATGAATATTGTAACCCACCAATAAAACTATCAACAAATGTTCAGAAAGCTGAACCCACATTCGGGACAACGTAGGAAACGAAGTGCCGATCCTGCTTTCTTCACTTCTTAGGTAAGTTTATTGAAATGTTACTGCAATGCTTCAATTAATTTTAAAATACAGATTTAAGCGTTCACTTTGTACACTTGCCCCGCCTCCTGGAACTCTGCAGAAATAGGAAATACATGTAGAGTGTTGTGCTGTTCCCTGGTCAGGTACGTATCTCCACCTCCGGAAAGTAGGGTACACGAAACTCGGGGCGCCCAGGGCGGAGTCTACCCCGACAATGCACAGGATACAAGGGTAGGTCGATGAGAGCCACGCCAGGGAGAAGCCTCCCCCAGTTTTGCGGCTTTGAATACAAAAGATATATATCAATAACTCTGTCCCGAGTATCTATCTACTGCCTAGCTTACCTCTAAGCCTCGACGACTGAGCACCGCTTGCGGGCTTTGCAGACGCGGTTCAGCCAAACCTTCTGCCGCCGATCTGTGTTGCGCGGCGTCCCGATGTGGTTCAGGCGTCTGGTCAACTCGACCCACAACCTTGCCTTGTCATCTCTGGTCAGGTTAGGCAAGAGGTCAGAGGCCCCACGAGCCAGTTCGCGATGCTAGAACATAAAATTGTCCATTTCTTCTTTTTGTAATGAATTGACCTGCTCGCAGGGCCCTCTCTCGCTTGCCTGATCAGACATGACAGACATGATTGAGACGGTAAATTGTCGTCCGCTATCAGTTTTCGAAAAACGCGCGCGTCCGAATCCCGCAATTCTTGCCGGCAGCTTTTACATCACATAACCTCGGTTTCACTTTTATCTTCAGTCCAACTAAAGAAAAACGTGCTATTTCATCAGCATTCAGAGGTTTTTGTACTTACAACGTGGTGTAAAATAAATTATATGTGACGATGAGCGTCGCATTCCCTTGGCTACTGTCGGCTCGGTGGAAGTACAAGAGTCGTTGGCTTGGTTATCTTGGTTCGCTCCTTTGGCTTTCTGTCTTCACTGTCGTGCATTGGAAGTGTGTCGTAGTTAATTACTACGATGTCGTCACGGCGTCAGAATGTGAGTTTCCGCGATGCGTGGTGTTGCTAAGATACGTTCATTCACACCTACGTCACTTCCTTCTTCCAAGTCTCCTGGGAGTCCAAAAAGCGCAACATAGCACCCCAGTGCTTGGCGCATCTCCCGCGCAGAATCGCAACCTTTTTGGCTCCTGATAGGCCAAAAGAGCCCGTAGCATATGATGCGGTTCATTTAAAGTTGAAGCAGAGTAGCCGCGATGTACGCGAACCGTTGCGACGATGCGTGATATTGAAAAATAAACAGAGAAAAAATACCTCGGAAGTTTTTCCAGTTTTAGATATTGCTATTTGAGACATGAATGCTGTAAATGTCATGGAGGGATCGATTTGTTGACACTATTATTGCGTTCATTCGGCTCCCTCTCTACACTAAAACACTGATCTTTTCATTTTCGAGACTTGCGGTTTTCTAGAGAGCTTCGTGACAACGCCAGTCGTTCCTTGGCGCACTGAATCCTGCAAAGCCAATAAACTACACCCAAAACCACTCCTTTGTAGTTCCAAGGAATCCTGAAGCCAGTGAATACAGTGAAGCGGCACAAAATTCTTAAATATCGGTGGCCGCCCGCCTGTCTACCCTGGTCGTCTCGGACCAAAAAGAGACAAAAGGCGCCAAGAAAATCCATTCCCTGGCAGTCCCGTGCAATTACGGTGCCCGGGAAATACAGTGAGACGCCATGCTGGCAGTTCACCGAATTCCCTGGGTAGTCCCGGTCTAGTCTACTACAGCCAAGGTCCAATCTTGGCCCCATAAGTAGTCTAAGCAAGTGTGCAGCCTGGGGTGTACCATGTTGTAAACTCTCTATTCAAGAATCTATCCAAAATAGAACTTCCCAATTGACACCTTTGCCCTCAAATAAGTATTTATTAAAGTTTGCCAATCAGTTTTAATTCATGAATAACTTATTTAATTACAGCGTCTTCCTAGCAACCTTTTTATCAAGACGCCTTCTTACAACAGTGATTTTTATTGCGTAGAGTACTTCATTCGGTTTTAAGGCTTGGTTTCAGAAAACGAGGCACCCTGATACCTTGCGCCAACACATTTTCAATGTTCGTAACCCATTGGCTAAGACAGGCCAAGGTTGGTCAGCCTAAGTCAATTGATTACCAATGATGGTAAGCCATTGGCTAAGAAACGCCACTGATGGCCAGACGAAGCCAATCATTTACCAACGTTGGTAGGCCACTGGCTAAGGCAGGCAAATGGTGGCCAGCTTAAACGAATCGATTGCCAACGTTGGTAACCCATTGGCTCTATTACAGTTTACCCAAGCAGCAGATTATGACCGACTTAAGCTTGAGCCAGACTGGGTTGCCGGGGAAGTTTCACTGGGCTTAGATTGTTTTGACCCATGGCCCTAGGCAGTCCCATCCTGGTATACCAGTCTGGCGACCACCAGCAGTTCTTTGTATAGACATGGACTGGCTCACCGCTGGAGTTATCGCCTCGGCCAGGCGGGAAGCTCAGTGGAACACCAAGCTTGGCTCTTTATTGTGTTTACAGCATGGGCCAGGTTAGTTGTCGAGTGGTCAGGCAAGCTTGGCTAGACAGTAGAAATTCAACCCGGACCAGCAAGGGAGTTACCGGCCCTATTGAAAAATTTTGCAAACTGGACCAGTACAAACAGGATTACTGCCACTGGTTAATTGGTTGAACTGGACAAACTGAAACTGTGCATACTGGTCTTACTGTGAAATTGGGGAGACAGGTCTTACTGTGAAAATGTGTATACTGGTAATACTGTAGAACTGTGTATACTGGTAATACTGTAGAACTGTGTACACTGGTCCACTCCATGCAGTTAAACCAGTTTCACTTGTCAGATTGAAAACAGAGGTGGTAAATGAATAAAGTTAACTTTATTTAACGAAATGCATACTGCAGACCCTGAAAAATAAACATACAGACATATTTAGAATGTAACAAAATCGTCAAGATATTATTCATGTGTTCAAGCCTGTTGGCGAGATTTTTCACATCTTCTGGAGTTCCGGGATTCCGGTGGTGGCTAACATAGTAGCCCAAGGCATCTGAAATAGCAATAAACATCAGTAATTGGAACCATGGCAGATTTTTTTGCACCCGTCCGTTCTAGGAAGGTATGTAACTAATGCCACGAATAAAAATATGCACTATCATAAACAGTATGAGAGAATATGGAAGCGTGTGCCAATCGTACATGTGCTGCCGGTCTCCCGGCAATTAATTATAAACCGCATGTAAGCGATTTGACGAGCGACAACGATCCGCTTCGCTGTCGTTCGGTCACTCCTGCGACGCGGCAAACCGCACGAAAGCGACGGGAGCAACCGACAAAGGCGATTAGCGACGATTTCTAGAAATCCAAAAACCGAGCGACGCGACGAGCGATTGTGGGAAATCTCCACTGCTCGTCGCTCGCTTAATCGCTTACATGCGGTTCAGTCTTTGCGCAAAGCAACGCCTAGAAATTAAAATATTCTGATGTTGTTATCCCCTTCCTGCCTCCCCAGTCTGTCGTCCGCAATGCAACTCGCAACCACTCTGGTAGAGGATCTCTAAAGCTGCATGTACACTGGCGGTTGTATTACTAGCATAGCTGTTCCAAATCGGGTTGCAGAAAGGTTCAGTTTCACATGCACCTGATAATGAAAATGAATCCAAATGGTCGAGCATGCTTACCTGGCTCACTGCCGCGGAGAAAGAGATAGCCATTGCCCACGCTGCAATGGGGACGGAGTGAATTCCGAACACGCCGTTCTGGGATGCAGCCATTTCGCACGCGAGCGATTAGAACTCAGGCGGAGGACGTCATCAGCCACTGGAACCTTCGCCAGAGGAGCACACAAGGCGCCGGCAAACTATCTTATACAGACACAGCGTAAAGACGACTTGTAACTTTTGCAAGCAAACCAGCAGACAGCAGCGCGAACAAAGACCCAAATGCGCGCCAGATTCGTTTTCTTTTTTTTTTTTCTTTTTTTGGGGGGCTGGGTGGGCAGGGTTAAGAATTATTGCCAATTGCCGCCGCCGACTCAAAACTGGCGTTTCGAGCAGGCGCGAGGGCCGCGACGATTAGCCCGCGCGCTCCCTGTCCTGGCACGTGAGCAGCTCTACCCCTTCAAGGCATTCGCGCTGCGCGCGGGGACACTGCATCTCCAGTCTCGGGGTCCTGGCGCACTCCAGGCATCTGACTCACCTGCGCATTGCACCTGCGGGTGCCGGATTTTTCCTGCGCTTTTCCAACATCATGTAGGAGGCTCCCCGCCTCGGGCACTTGTGCTGGAAGCGGCTTCTCAGTGCAAGCCAGGGTGAATAAAGGCCGCGGTAGAAAGCAGGAAAGTTATAAAGTTTGAGTTCGACCAATTTCGACAGTTTGATTTCCAATTTGTCCGGTACAATTCCACTACAACCAGCTCATTTCGGGTTTGGCCTGTTCATATCCAAACTGTTTTCAAATCGGAATTTTTCAATGGGGAAAACGTTATTTCTTATGTCTCTAGCTAAAACAGACTTCTTGCACTGAAACGTCGCTTTCTAGTGCAAGGGCTCGTGTCACAAAGCACCAAAAATATGTTAAGAGAACTCTCATACGAATAAAAATATAAGTCAATGAGTTACACGAACGATAGAGTAACGGTGGCTTTCAACGGGCATTCTGGGTCCAATAAAATACGAGCTTGAGCCAAGGAACATAGCATAGCGGCAATTCCCTGCCATTCCTTGGCTCAACCTATCTTTGATCTGGACACATGCCCGGACACTGGCTGTTGCTCGTATTTAGTGGACCAGGGAATTCCTACGAACCACCGTGGAACCTCAAAGCTTGGCGGAGGCGTTGCTATTTTCGCCATATCTGGCCGTGGAAAATCAATAGACACCCAGGGTACTTCAAATACTGGCATCGGCCTGTTTACACTGGCCACCAATGACCAAGGAAATTGATTGGTCAACCAGAGAAGACGTTCCCTGGCAGTTCCGTGGCTTTCTGGAGCAAGGAAAGATTGTGAAACGCCAGGCTGGCATACAGCCGTAAATGGCCTGGCAGTCGTGACCAAGCTATCACAACTAAGGGCCAATCCTGGACCCAGCAGAACCAAGCAAGTGTGCTACCTGGGTATATTTCTACGGGCGTTGTCACTACCGCGGTCATTACTGCAGTTGTCTTATTTTGTACGCACTTTGAAGTGATTTTTGGTCAAAGAGACATAATGCCCCAGCTTCTTCTGTTATGTGTGGCGAGATAACCTTTGTTTGCAGATTGTAATGCGCATCAACTTAAATCATACCCTACCTCAAACATATGGTGTTTGAGATCTTAATTCAACAGGCTTTTTTATTCGTGAAGACATGTAATTGCTTAATCAATCGCTGGATAATTGTTTTAAGGTTTTATTTTTTGCTGAAAAATATTAGTGCTTTTTATTTTATTTTTACTTTTGTCCGGTTCGGTCTGAATTATAGGCCGTGTTTTGCGGCTCAGCAAAGCGGGTTGCTTTGAGATTTTTAAGATCACATACAGCTGACAATACGCCCGTGTCATAGATACTGGGGAGGCGGGTGGAAAATGGGCATAAGAGAAGAGGCACTTTGCTTTTTGACTTATAAACATACACACAAATCGAAGAAAGCGTGCATTTTGAATTTCCGTGTGAAATTTATTGACCATAACAATCAGTTTTGGGATGACGCGCGTTAGTTATAGTCGGTGACAGGTGGAAAAATCTCATCCCATCTCTTTCCACTTTTGCAGAGTGAAGGATCGGGAGGAGGCGATCTCCTCCCCAGCGTTTACTTTTAATCTGCCACCGACTACGGCGTTTTCTTTGTGGACGTTCAAAATTGCTACAGCTCGCAATGCACACAGCGTTCGAATTCAGTTGCTAACTTGCTATGCGTGTGAAAAGAGAAGAATCGTCCCCCCCCAGGAGCCATAGCTACAGACTGTTCGCAGCGTGCGCGATCAGTACATTAAAAAAAAACTAAGCCAATTAATTATAACGTTGGTAAGCCACTGGCTAAGACAGGCCAATGTTGCCCAGCCTAAGTCAATCGATTACCAATGTTCGTAACCCATTCTCTAAGACAGGCCAATGTCGGCAAGCCTAAGCCAATCGATGACCGATGATGGCAGCTCACTGGCTAACATAGACCAATATTGGCCAGCCTAATCCAATTGATCACCAATGTTTGTAACCAATTGGCTAAGACAGGCCAATGTTGGCTAGCCTAAGCCAACCGATGCCAACGTTGGTAAGCCATTTCCTGAGATTTGTCATAGTTGGCCAGCCTAAGCCCATCGATTGCCAACGTTGGTAAGCCATTGGCTGAGATAGGCCAATGTTGGCCAGCCTAAGCCAATCGATTGCCAGCGTTGGTAAGCCGTTGGCCAATACAGGCCGAGATTGACCAGTATATTCAGTGTACCACTAATATCGGTAGTACGATGGCCACATTGGCCCAACATTGGATTATTGTTCGACAATTAAATATCACTGTTGGCCCGACGTCGTGTGCTGTCTGGGGTGGGATTTATGGGGGATGGAACTTAACACGACTAAAGGAAAGGCCATGAGGGTATCGAGTAATTGTAATGTTCCTTATTCTTGCTTTCTGAAAAAATGTCCCCTTACTTTCTCTCCCTTCTTATAAATACTTAGGTGGCTATGTAAGCTCAGATATTTCCTGGCAAATGCATGCTGACTATGATATTAATGACGCTAATCGAATGCTGAGTTATCTAAAACGAAACTTTTCACTTGCCCTTCATCTTTGAAACTAACACTGTACAAAACGCTTGTACGCGTTTTGTACAGGGTTAGAACAAAACACCCTGGAATCAGTTCAGGTTCGCTCTGCTCGGTCTGTTTTTAGAAACTTTCATTGCACCGCAAACGTGAGCTCCATGAAAACTAGCCTATCGTTGCCTAACCTCAAATTGCGTCGCAAAATAGCTCGCTTTTGTCTCTTTCATAAGATATACCGTACTAACTCATTACTTCACAGTCGACTGCTGAATCATCCGTCTTTTATTTCGTCATGGATTGATCCTATCTATAAATTAGACATTCTAAAATGTAACTCTAATGCACTCTGAGAGTCATTCATTCAAAAACCTTCAGTGGATGGGAACGACCTTCCCGCATCTATCGCAACAATTGTTCCTGACCATTTATTTATACAGCCATAAATAATCTATACTGCTCAGATTGACCTGCAAAGTGCATTAATGCCACTAACCCCCACTCCCCTCTGTAATGCCGATGGCCTTGAAGGTATTCTAAATAAATAAATAAATAAATACACCAACTGCTCATCAGGGTACAGTGTACCAGCAGAGGGCATATGTCTGCATATGAACATGTTAGTTGGCGCTCCAACAGTCTAATCGATAAAAATAGGTACTACTCTGAGCCAAAAACCCCAAAACGCCAATTTCGTCTTGGCACTAACAGTGGCACACAGCATATATTTTACTGACTAAAGGCTACTCAATCATTATTTTCAGCTGCCTAATCAAACTAAATATTCTCCCGGCTTGCATTTTTAGAAAAATCTCTAAATTTACAACAACTATAAATACAACTGCTAAAGGAAGCAATGGCGAATCAAACAAATCAATTTGCCTGCTCTCCAGTAGCACGACATCTCTGGCAGGCAGGCTTGCAGAATGACAAAGCAGTCTAAAAAGCAGAGTTCGTCCTTTGCCATTTGTTTTCGTGGTGCAGAGCAAGTGCTGGAAGGAGGCCTCACGGCATCCATTTTTCACAACCAAATTTCTTGCAATCAGTGGAGAACACGTTCGAGCAATGAACCTGCCACTGGCATAACGTTTGAGTGCTGCCCGTTGAGACTCAAATAAATTTGTAAACAAAAACAAGGAAGACGAATCTTCATAAAAAATCCGCAACTTTGGCAAAGAGAAGTCATCGAGCCAAAAATATGTGGGATACAATTAAACAGCGTCTATTCGTGTCCTTAACCAATTTTGAGACAAATCGGCGACAAGAAAAAAAAAAAATAACGCCCGAGTACCATTAAGGGAAAGAAAGAAAGGATGCATACTTACCACAAAATAAATTTGGGACAACCACAGGCAAGAATTTCTAGTGAGGCTCTCAGAGGGGCTCCCTGCAATGGGCCTGCGCAGATTACAGAACAAGATCTCGTCAAAACAGTAGCCATAAGGTGCTTCATGCCATAAAGTTCCAGACGCAGCTGCGATTGTAATTAAAGTGCATTTTATTTCTCCGCAGAACAGAGAGTTTAACAGGTAGCATGCATTCATTAGGTGATAATGTCATAAATACGACGACTTTTCAATGCAGCATTATATGACCAAATTGTTAACCGTGCCGGGCAAAACTAAAAACCGGAAGTATTACTTAAAACTATCTCAGTTTAAAGTTAACCACGGCAGAAGCTTCAAGCCATCCTTGCGAGTTCAGCGCAGAAAGCAAGCCATATGACGTATTTGGACGCCATTGTACGGTGAGCTATTAATCAAATGTCACGCTCTCTTTGGTGTAATGGCTTGTAGCATAACTGGCCGTATAACTCACCTGCACAAACCGCACACGTGTAGCTTTCACGAACTTCTTAAACAAATATGTAAAGCTTAAAAATATCGCGCGTGTATAACAGTGAAAAAGCGATAGCAGCATGGTGGAGCCATATGGCTCCACCAAGGTCCATTCATATAGGTCGCGAAAGTGGAGCAAAAAAGCGGCCCAAAACCAATCATCAGCGTCATCACCCTGGAGGCCGCGCTACCGCAGCGCGACTATGTTTTGCGCGGCCAAACACTAAGCTGATAAAATATTAAAAACACACTTTCGGTGTCTAATATAGTTGACTTTAAATCAAAGTATCATTTTTTAATTAGAACATAGTTTAAACATGTTTAGGGTGGCGAATTTTTCAGGTTATGTTCAATATGTATTATGTTGTGCATACTCATTACAACATCTACAACGTCGCTATGTTTCGCCGTCGGCAGAAGTTCGCAGTCCTGATACGTTTCGTGTTTGCATTGTTTGCGTTTGCCGGTGCGTCTACATTTCTCTAGCTCCGGTCAAACTTTCACTTTGCAATCGTTTAACGAATTCGTGGTCTTGAGTTTTCCCTCGTGTCCGAGGGCAAAACGGTTTGTACCAGTTAAAGCCTATTCCGCCGTTCTGCGGCTTTTGTCGTCGAGCGCCCGCCGGGCGCGTTCAAGGGTCTGTTCGTCGGGACGATGCGCCCGCCCCATGTAAAGAGGCGCTGCGCGGTAGGTCGATGCCGAAGTGATGACTGCACCGCTGGCATCACACTCCATCGTTTTCCTGTAGACGCTGCAAGGTGAATCTTGTAGCAGCGGTGTCCGCTGCAACTATGTATGATGTCCTGATGTCCGTTGTCCGATGATGTCTGGTAAGCTCTTGACCTCTTCTATGGGCACTCATGCATGCTCATTTAGTAATACACACCCGTTGATCGAGCTTTTTTTGGGCCCAGTCTCCCTTCCAAGCTGCGCGAGACGAAACTAATATTAGATAATAGTGGCCGCTCTGCTTGACCTCTGCTGAACGGCTGCGTGACCTTATAAACCTAATAAGAAACAATGTCTGAACATTTCAGTTTTAATGAACTTTTATAATATGGTGTGAACACTAAAACGTCCTTTCTGCTTGTAATGTGTTTGGTGTCGTCCCTCTAACATGCTGGCGACTATCAGGTCTACTTGCTGTGGATGTCGTGCTCGGGAATCCAGTAATGTAATCGTCTGCGTTGTGAACCTATCTAACCTCACGGGCACACAGGTGTGCTCCGCGCTCATGGCGTTCGCTGGATCCAGACGGGTACCAAGTACAATGATGTCACTAGTTTATCGCTAACATTATTGTGTAATCTTGTTTCTTTCTTAAGTATCCACTTTAGCCCAGGGTATTCAAAGTAATACACTGCTTCACATTCAGCCGGAGGGTCTGGGTTGAGTTCTGCCGGAACACAAGCCTACAAAACAAGACACCACAGCAGCTGCGGGAACGGGCGGTATGCTCCAGGCACTTCAAACCCTCTGCATTTCTTTACCGAAAAAGGCTGCGTCGGGATGCAGTGCCAGCATATTTGACCTCTGAAGGTGAGCACCAAATATTGTTTTCATTATTACTGAGAAGGTAAGCTTATTCAGAAAGTATTTTACATGGAGATGCAGGGAACTGTTTCAGTGTACATAACGTGTGTGTTTAACTTTGCATGGGTGCCGGAGATGCCGTTCAGTGCAGCAGCCCTAGCCAATTGACTAGCGAGGGCGAGCCCACACTGGCCAGCAGCAGTAGCACCGATGGGCCCACATCATCACGGTGTCACACGCACCGCACGGCGGAACAAAGGTGAAAGCAATTACATATTCGCGGAGAAGTTTTGCAGGCCTTGTTTCTTATATATTTCGGACTGTCGTGCAGTAGCCATCCTTGAGAAACATGTAAAACATGTATGACCATGTTTTTAATCTATGGTCCGCTGCAACCTAAGAACGAAGGGCGAGGGCAGGACGGGCCGGGGAGGAGGAAGCAGACGGAACGCTAAACAGAGAACGAGATTTTCCTCTCACTTCTCCAGCGTTCCGTCTGCTTCCTCCTCCCCGGCCCGTCCTGCCCTCGCCCTTCGTTCTTAGGTTGCAACGGGCTACAGCTTGTCACATGCCGCAGGAATTTCCTGAAACAATACAATGACTGATGTTCTTGACAGATTTTTTAATTGCCTCGTCATTGCTTTGCAGATGTGGGGAGCAGGCTCACGGCTCTGACCTCTAGCACGAAGACTAGCCCTCCAAACAGAGTTCATGGTAAGTTTTCATGGTGTGCGTTGTTTAGGACAGTCTTTGAAGATTACTTTGTTGTGTAGTACTTGACCAGTCATAGCTGGTTCAGCTTTCTGCAACCACTCCGTCACTTTGTTTCCTTTGTTTTGTTTCTTGTAGTGGATCACACATACGCGATGCAAGGCGCGATGGATGGACATGGCCCGCCGTCTGGAGGGAACGATGTGTGGGCGCCTGAACCTTCCCCTACCGATTATGATGCGTCGGTGTCTTCGGCTTCTGCGGTTCCCCACCAACGTAGGTGTCCGTCATGATGCACAAAGTTTACATGTCGTTCTACATCTTCTACAGTGGAGGCACATGGTTTATTTCATTATTTCTCGAAATGTTTCATAATTGCTTTTGCTTTTCCCTTGCAGGGTCCTGTGCCACCCGCACCGAGGGCAAGGGGAAGATGGACGTGTGTAGGGCCAGACTTCGAAAGCTTCGGAAACATAACAAGCGACTCCAGCAACAACTGCAGCGACGGCGATATATGCTGACTGTCACTGAGACAGTTGAAAGTGTACGTAGCCTTGTGTCTCCAGCCGTTGCTGCTCTTGTGGAAGCTCAGCTGAAGATGACCAATGCAAGCAGGTTCGGCAGGCGGTGGTGCAGCCAGAACAAAGCCTTTGCCTTGGGCTTGTACTTTCACAGCCCTAAGGGTTACCGGTACTGTAGGCAATTGTTGAGGCTCCCATCCGTTAGGTCGCTACAGCTTTGGCTTCAGCGTGTTCCCCTGAGGATTGGTTTTTACCCAGAAGTTTTCGAACTAGTCAAAAGACGTGCAGCTTCTTTTTCGCCAGAAGACAAACCATGTATTATTGTCTTTGACGAGCTGCACGTCACGAAAGAGCTCTCGTACAACCCTCAGTGGACAGGTTTGAAGGGCTCGAAGAAAGTAACACTGGAAGAAGCCATAACCTTGCAAACAAAGCTTTTGTGTTTATGTCTAAAGGCATTCGCACGCCATGGAAGCAGCCACTTGGCTATTTTTTTGCTCATGGGGGAACACCTGCCAACATCTTGCGTGACCTTCTTTTCCAGTGCCACAATTTGCTTGTGAAAGCCGACCTGGAGCCAGTAGCTGTCGTATGTGACCAAGGCAATCAAAATGTTGCTCTTTTTAATGCCCTTGTTACCCCTGAGAAGCCCTACATAACTGTGAATGAGAAGCCACTTTTTTTAGAGCGCAGCTCTTGGGGGCCCGTTCCCGGCTTGAGCGGCGTCGCCGTCGCCGTCGGCGTCACCAAGGTCATCCCAAGGTCACTTGACCCCCAAGGTCATCCCAAGGTCACGTGACCCCTCCCCAAGGGTCACGTGACCCCAAGGTCACGCACCCCAAGGTCATGTGACACACAAGGTCACGTGACCCCCAGGTCACCCCAAGGTCACGTGACCCCTCCCCCAGGGTCACGTGACCCCCAAGGTCACGTGGCTCCCCAAGTCATGTGACCCCCGGACTCACGTGACCCCCGATGACGTCATCAGTGACGTCACTGATGACGTCACCGGTATCCGCATCGTCATTGTCATCATCACTGATGACGTCATCAGTGAGTGACGTCACTGATGACGTCACCGGCATCCGCATCGTCATCGGCATCATCATTGATGACGTCACCGGCATCCGTATTGTCATCGTCATCATCGCTGATGACGTCATCAGTGACGTCACTGATGACGTCACCGGCATCCGCATCGTCATTGTCATCATCACTGATGACGTCATCAGTGACGTCACTGATGACGTCATCGGTATCCGCATCGTCATCGTTACTGATGACGTCATCGGCATCGTCATCGTCACGTGACCCTCCTAGGTCACGTGACCCCCACCCAAGGTCACTTGACCCCCCCCCCAGTACCCTTCCCTCCTCCTCCTCAAGAGCTGCGCTCTAATTCGGCGTTACAGGGAGTTGTAAACGGCTTTCACTTTTTCTATTTGATGTTCCCCATCTGCTTAAGTGCTTACGAAATATGTTCTTCAAGTACAATTTTCAAGTTGGGGACCACACGTTGAGAAGCTCTTTCCTCAGGGATGCCTACGAAAAAGACAAACAACTTGAAATCCGATTCATGCCAAGGCTCTGTGAGAAGCATTTTAATTTGGCTTTTGCCTCCAAAATGTCAGTGAAACTAGCAGCGCAAATATTCAGTAATCACTGTGCTGCTGCAAAGTTTGCCATACTAACTTTCCAACAACTGCCACTTGAAGCTATCCACATTGCCTGGTTTATTGAAAAAAAATGGATCGTCTTTTTGATAGCTTGAACAGCTCACAGAAACGCGGGAAGAGCGCATATGTGTCTGCAATGCACGAAGGCTCCGTTCACAAGGAGTTTCTGAAAGAGTGCCTTCTTATGTTCGAAAGCCTTACCGTTTTTGGGTGCCCACGGCAGCCTGCTTGCATTCGCGGTTTCTCCTTGACCATTCGGTATATTATGCTGATTTATGAGCACCTGACAACTCAGTATGGTTTCAGATACCTTCTGACTCGCCAACTCAACTAAGATGCACTCGAAAACACATTCTCCGTGATAAGGTCAAAGTCTGGTGTGAACGCCAATTCCTCTTGCCGGCAGTTTCAGGCAGCCTTTAGGCGTCTCCTAGTTAGCAACATGTTTAAACTGTCTGACAAGACCAACTGCGAAGAGGACATGGCAACTCTTTTAGCGGCTCTTCCGGTTGGTCTCACAGCTCCCTCAGCTTCTCTTAGTCTCGGAAGCTCACTTCCACAATGTGCAGCTGACCTCACATCCTGTAGTTATCCCTCTTTATTATCACTTAACAACATTGTTTACTTTGCTGGATGACTTGTAACAAGGTTTGTCAAATATCATAC